GTCATCCCAAGTAAGACTGACAGAAAAGTGGCTTCCTGCCTCAAGACCTCTGTGCACTTTGCTCTTCATTTTTAACCCTCTCTGGGACAGATCTCAAAAGCCAGCTCACACCAGGCAGGGGGCACACACCTGTAATTCCCAACTGCTGGGCAGGCTGCGCAGGTGAATTCAACGTCATCCTGATCAACTTATTGACACACTGTCTCCAAATAAAAATAAACAAAGTTGAGGATGTCATTTGGTTTTAAAGTATCCTGGGTTCCATCCCCAGTGCTACCAAAACAAAACTAAAGTAAAGCAAAACCCAACTCAGGACAAGGTGTGAATGACATAGGAGACTTAAAATGTGATCTCTTTCCGGAGTTATTTGCTTTTTGACTAAGAAGTAAGACCAGTGTCAAAGGAATTCTTTACTGACTTTGACATTTCAAGCATCAGATAAGGGGGATGTTGGGTGGCTTGTGATGTTGAAGACTATCCCCCCAAGAATCACTTGTATTTTAAGAAATATTTATTAAGCACCTATCATGTAAGATGCACTGAGAACAGTGAGGAATAATAGACACTGATCCTCATAGAGCTGCAGCTTAGTTCTAGAGAGAGCAGTAATTACGTACCACAATAGGGCTGGTTTACTTGGGTGGCTTATTTTTATTTGAGTGAAGTTGAATTTTGCTCAGTGCTATGGACATTTTCATGAACCTCCTGCCCCTACCTCATGCGAAGCATCCTGTTTACAGTATTTGTACCTGTCCTTCTTTTACTCTTTAAAATAAAAAATATAGTGTTTTTACCTGATGCATAGAACACAAAGTTAACTAGGACTAAGCAAAATTTAATTTTGAAGCAAACAATGGAAGAGTATTTTGGTGTTTCAGGTACTGCCCATTTAGGGACAGCTACTGTCTTTTGCCTGCCTAGCATGGCTTCTTTTGCTAACAGGGATCGGAGAAGCAGAGCTCCCCATCAGGTGGAGTGTCAGATGTGCTGGAGTGACAGAGTCTTGCTGTGTAGTTCAGACTGGCCTTGAACTCGCTATGGTGGTCTTAAACTCACCAGGGTGGTCTTGAACTTGAGGCAATCCTTCTA